ACATACATACCTTTTCCTTAGAAGCAAGGTGGAAATGTAGAACACTCTGTAGCATATGTTCACACATTCAGTAGAAAATCACAATACAGATTGTAGAGTCCACACTCCAGCAACATCATCTCATTATGACTGAGTATGCTTGCTTATTAAAACAAACTGACTTTTTATATTTTTAAATATTTCCAGAGGGTTAAAGCCCCTTAAGTCTGTCTTCCCAACCTCTTCTTTATTCATATTCTATTTTGGTCTTACCAAAAAAATTCTAATAAGTTTCATCCATGGTATAATTAAAATTAATTGTGATATCATAACCTAAGCCCAAGATTTGAAACAATCTATGATTTCTTTTAAGATAACATCCTTCATTACGAATGTCTTTTACTGAGAATATCTTATACTCACACACAGAAACACACACATCAGATAAGTAAACTATCTCCAATTTACTTCCCAAATTTGTTCTTGTAGGATGTGGGGAGAAAGGGCAAGAAGATTTGGAGTTTAGAAGCCTTGCCTTTTAGTTTATCTGTGGTTCCTAATTAACTTTTTAACCTTGATTCAGTCACCTAATCTTTCTATTTTCTAATTCTCTTTTGTAAAATGAGAAGAGTTAAATTAGATGGTTACTAGGGTCTTTTAAAACCATAAGATTACCTGCGAAAATACATCAGCTTGTGTGTTCTACATTGACCTTCATTACCAAATGAGAAAGAGAAAGTTTTTCTGATGTTCACTTTTTTAGGAACAGAGATTCATCTACATTATACTGGTTGTATCACAAAATAAAATTTGTATTATATAACTGCTTGATTTTATGCATTTAAGACTAGCTATAAAATGTTAATACAAAGCGTTTACATTAAAACGTAATTATTTATCTAGTGACTGTCCTGTTTTATTATATGCTTAACTGATGCTGTTGAATAACTACTACTTATTAAAACATTAATGGTATCATTTTATCGGGACCACTGTTCGTGTTTCGTTTCATGAAAGCTAACTCAGACACAGTGCTGACATCAGGGATAAATAGGACAAGGCACTGTAAAAGGCAGTAACCCGCAGGAAGGCTGCTTATTTAAATGGTTGTAGGAAGTGCCAGGAAGTTTAAGATGAAAAACGCTAGACTTTGAAATATGATCTTTCTCAAATAATTCCAAGAACCAAGTGCAGGGGTGGCGGGTAGAAACATATATAATTAGCACTTTTAGCGTTTGAGTTATTGGGAAAAGGATCAAAAGAAGCTAAAGAGTAAGGGAGGAGGAAGGTGATGAAGCTCCTGTTGGATCAAGCTGTGTTCCACTGTTCCTTGGCCTTGGGGCATGGGCCTTTTTGTTTGTTTGTTTTGCATTATATTGGTGGATATACCAGCCTCCAGGTGTAAAGGTCCTTAGTGTGGTGTTGTGGGCACAGTTTAGCCCTCTAATGGAAAGTCAAAGGGGGAAAAATAAGAGAACACACAAAGTATAATCAGTTTAGTGTAAACCTTACTGTCTTCAGTGGAAAGAGCCTCATATTCTGGTAAAGACTTCATAAAGTATTCCAGACCAGTAAGCTGAAGCTGCAAAAAATAACAAAAGCAAGAAAGGCCTCGGGTGCCTGGGTGGCTCAGTCGGTTAAGCATCCGACTTCAGCTCAGGTCATGATCTCACGGTTTGTGGGTTCGAGCCCTGTGTCGGGCTCTGTGCTGACAGCTAGCTCAGAGCCTGGAGCCTGTTTCAGAGTCTGTGTCTCCCTCTCTGACTCTCCCCTGTTCATGCTGTCTCTCTCTCTCTCTCTCTCTCTCTCTTTTTCTCTCTTTCTCTCTCTCAGAAATAAATAAAACATTAAAAAAAATTTTTTTCTAAGGCAGGAAAGGCCTAACTTCTTGAAAGAAGACTTTGAATTTGGAGTACAAGTGTGTTCTAGATCAGAAAAAGTGTTAATCAGTGAGGGACTCTCTTACCTCCAGGGTTACTGAGGTGAGCCTTAGGTCAGTTTATAGAGAAGCCCCCAGGCTACTAACTTTAAAAGCAGGTGAGTCTACATTTTCTTCTTTGCCAAGAGCTTCTGGGAGAGTAGTCTTCAAGATCAAGTGTGTGTGAGGATATTGTATATCCATAGAAAATGTAGACTCTTCAAAATCAGAAGATTTTCATCTAACAGCACCACACCTTGACACCATCACAACCCACTTTGGGGAGGTGTCCCCGGTATCATACCTGTAGGTATTTAGCCTAAAAGAGTGAAAAAGATACTATTAAAATGTCTGAAATATTAGGGGCGCCTGGGTGGCTCAGTTGGTTAAGCGGCCAACTCTTGATTTTGATTCAAGTTATGATCTCCCAGTTCATGAGATTGAGCCCTCACCAGGCTCTGCACTAACATCATGGAGCCTGCTTGGCATTCTCTCTCTCCCTCAAAATAAATAAACCTAAAAAAATAACAAACTGAGGACTGATGGGTGTGGGGAAGAGGGGAAGGGAGTGATGAGCATGGAGGAGGGCACTTGTGGGGATGAGCACTGGGTGTTATATGGAAACCAACTTGACAATAAACTATTAAAAAATAAATAAATAAATAAATAAAATAAAATCTGACATTTTCAAAAGGAATTCAATAAGGCATATGCAAATTTATTTACTCCATTCCATAGACTAAGACTCCTTATTTTGAGCAGCTTTTAGTAATAATGGATAAATATGTTTGCTTATGTGTATACATAAACATGTATGTACACAGCATCCATACATGTGCACATAGTGTATAATCTTATTTAACCCTTGGGCTAAACTTAGATGTTAGCATTATTCTCATTTTTTAGATGAAAGTGGTAAAACAGATGTAATTTACCTAGCATCACACAGCAGTAGCTTCCAAATTCTAACTCAGGAGTGTGCAGTTACAAATCCCATGCTCAATGTCACTCAGCCAGTGTTACTGCCATTATGGTACAGGCAAGACGTTATAGGACTTCTTACACATAGACATGTGCTGGTCAGAAAAAGGAACAGATTTTTTTAAAGTATATTTATTTATTTTGAGAGAGAGACTGGGTGAGATGGGGGCAGAGAGAGAGAGGGAGAGAAGGAGAATCCCAAGTAGGTTTTGCACTTAGTGCAGAGATCAAGACCTGAGCTGAATCAACTGTCAGTCCCTCAACCCATTTTGAGGCCCCCAAGGAACAGATTTATAAAGTGTTTGAGTGACTTGATGAATAACAGACACTGAAAGAAGCCAGGATCACGAGGGGAGCATCAGGGAGAACCCGTATCTCAGGGCCGCTGTTAGAGCCAGTTCACCACCTGGAGGGTGACGAGTCTGCTTCAAAATGGCAGTTCCTTTCTTCCCATAGTATGAGAAGTGGAGCTCTGCACTGCACATTAAACTTGGTAACTTCTGGATATTTTTCTTTCCACCATGTTTTCTTTTGCATTTAGCTGTGAGATTAATACCTATAAGTTTATAAGTAACATTTCATTAACCATTTCGACCTACTGTAAACATCTTACTCTTCAAGTCCAATTTCAAATATATATATATATATATATATATTTTCAAATATATATATATATATATATATATATATTTGGAAAGAAAAGCAATTAGAATTTGATTGATTTTATTGACAAATTTTAACAGTACGGTAATAAACCCAGAGGCAAGAATGATTATAAGTTTTAAAAGTACTAATTCTAAAAGAGATTTTAATTTAAAGTGAAATTATTTTGGAACAACATTTCGATAAATGTTAAGTGTGATATTTTTTTTAAATTCACTGCAGCTTTGTAGAGGTGCTCAGTATCCTATAAGTATCTCGTCTGTTGAGAGCATGTTCATAAACAAGTTGGACACTGGCATAGTATAAGATGATTAGCTGAAACACATTTTCAGTGCCTATGGTCTAGAGTTCTCTGCAAAGCTTTTCAAAAAGTAGACTATTTTGCTATAATAATCTTAGAAAAATGTTTTGGTGACGGTGTGTTCTCATTGAATGAATTAGTATAATGAACTTTGGACTACTTTAAGAAAATTCTTTTGCCTGTATAGAAATGACAACAAATGTGTTTTTAGTAAAAAGTGGTGATTTTTTTCAAAATAAGTGTAAAGCATACAGTGTAGGCAGTGATTGTGTGCTTGTCCAGGCAGAAGGCTAACTTCGTAGTCAAGCATCAGTGGCCACAGTCTCTTCCAGATGGAACACTAGCTCTCATTAACATAACTCTAGCCAATGCTGCTTCCATATACACTTGGAATATCTTGCTTCTTTAGCTTTTGTTGCAGGAAGAAATTTCAGAGTTTAGAGATGTCAAAAAAATTGATTATGGCAGCACTAATATTTTTGTCTTTATAGTAATAGAATATTCTCTTGTCCTTCAGAAAAAATTCCTGTCAGTGTTAGACTCCAATTAAATCTAATTTCTAGCCATTCATAATATAGTCTTCAAAGACTTGAAACCACCTTTGGTTTTGTCTGCAGCTGTTTTACAGAACGATTACTTTATGAGCCTGACTCTTGACATGCATTTCCATGAAGCCATTGATGTCAGCAAGAAAACTAATAAAACACAGCCCATATTTTGCTTTGTGTATTGTTTTAATCAATACTCCCTCTGCTGGTTTAATAGGAAGAAAGCCCCAAGGACAGTTCATATTACCAGATATTTATAGAATGCTTTTTGCTTTTAGAAAGACATTAAAAAGTGAAGTCAGGAGTCGAGACTCCTATGAATCTATTAGCTTTATTTGTACAGCTATTCCTTTTTAATTCACACTATTAATCTAAGTAGGAAAAATCGTTACCCTGGGGCATTTCTTTTCTCCAAGATAATTTCATAGAAACATGATGTTTTGATGGTACCTTTTATTTTTCCATCCTTAAATTCTGAATTATTTTATTGTTTTCTCTAAAAATTCAAAACATCCTCTCCTGTGAGCCCAACAACAGAACACCAAATGCAGTCTTTTATTCAAGGTGATGTATGTTTGTACCCATCTCGCTGTGTTCTCGTTCTCTGCAGGCACTCCATCTGCACCGTGTACATTGAAGTGCTCCCTCCAAATAATCAAAGCCCTCCCCGCTTCCCACAGTTGATGTACAGCCTCGAAATCAGTGAAGCCATGAGGATCGGTGCTGTTTTATTAAATCTACAGGTATGCTTCCTGATAGATACGTAAAGTTCTATGGGGACACTCTGGAAGGCTAATAGGCTCATATTTGGGCAACGGAGGGAAGTTTGCACATCTCTTGACACTCTAGTGAAGGAAACTTCCATCTGGGAAGGAAAGCAGGGGCCCTATGGATGGAGGGTTTCCTCAGCTGATCTATTCTATTGATTGCTACCACTGAAGGAGCTCGCAGGGATTAGCGGCAATCATTACAAGAATGAAGGTAGGGACTGAAAACATGCACTTGAATGTTTTGTACTTTGCGCCAAAAGAGTCTACAGTCAACTATGATTTTCTGTCTCGGAATCTTGTACCCCAGCAGGATTTATTTTTGCTGCAGTACCGTGTGGAGAAAATAGCTTTGGGTCTGCTAGCGGATGGTAGGCAGTCTAATTCTGAGGCAGACAACTTTGCTCTGTGGCCACAGGCAAATCTTGTGATTTCTGGGCCTCATTTGTTCATTTAGATGAAGGGAGGAGGTGTGGCTGATATTCCCATTTGCAGCCCTAGATGCACAGGCATAGGAGTTACTTGTAGGATCATTACTTGTGTTTCACAATTTACACATTCCTGACTGAAGCATGTTTGGCCAGGAAAGGCTGCCTCTTCAGCTGAACCTACAGCTGTAAGTTGGGCTACCTGTGGTGTCGCTAACAGCCCCTTGCTGTACAAATCATAGTGTGACACGTCACTTCACCAGGGGATGTGTAGAGCACAGGGGCTTACCTTCTCCTGGTATTACATGTGAATGGTGGATGTTGCTGACTAGAGAGTTCTGGAAGCTGGCCTTGTTGGTTAGGAGAGATGGTAACATGGTGCTGGAGGAAGAGCCCAGCATCTATCTGCACCAGCAAATGAGGTGGTGTCTCTGCTCTGGTACTTATTTTGTTGCTTTTCCCCAGGTAACTGGAGAGAGTTTGCTTTTGTTGTTCCTTTACCATTACAACATGTGGGGAACAAAATTATGTGAAGGTGGACATATTAGCAACAAGGAAATTTGGAGAATTTTAAGGAAATAAAGGAAATCAAGGAACCATATAGTATCTTTAGGAGGAAGAGAACACCCAGTTAAATGATGAAAATGAAAAAAAAAAATACATGAAAACTGAACATGAAGACAAGCTCATTTAATGGAATAATGAAAATATTTTCTAGATAATATATAGAAAATTCTTGGTATAAACAAGTAGGAAAAATAAATAAATCCTAGATCTGTAGATTCAGGCTAAGAAATGTTACATGTTTTTCATTTAGTCCTTCAGAATATGCCTTTGTATGATTTAATTTTCTATGAGGTAACATATTCTTCTGAGATGGCCTAGGTCTCATTTCAAAAAATCTCAGAAAGGTCCAGGAACTGTATTATAGGAGAATAACTCTACCCATGACATGAGTTAACAATGAAAAGGAGTTGGTCTTTTTTATATCTCAAATTTCTCTGCTGCAAAAGCTGGGAAAATGCTTGAAATGACATTTCTATTCTCCCTTTCTGCTTCTGGTGGGACCAAAAGGGAGGGTACCAGTTGTAGTCGTGGTCGCCGGGGGAAGGGATGAGGATGTTCTATTGGTGGCTTTTTTCATAAGCCACCAGCCATTCACTTTTGCTCATGAGCAACTGAGATTGAATTTAAAGTAGTGACCTAAAAGCTGAAAAGCGTACACCAAATTACTCTTCCAGAGACTTCTATTAACAGCGCACCAGAGATACCTCTGGCTCCATCCCCCTCTTTTTCACACACGGCACTGCCCACTGCTGCTGACTCACTGCTCAATTTAGAAAGACAGATTCACAGAGAAATATATTTTCAAAGGTAACAGCAGCCTGGCTGCCAAATAATCTGTTTAGGCTGAGATCAGAGTGGTTTCTTCTCAGAAAACAATCCTTGTTTCTCCCTGTCCCCTTCCTCTTTTAAGTATTTTCCTTTCATTCTGTCTAAAAGCTGCTGGGAAGGCTGTGATTTTCCTCAGGTTATTAAGGCTGTCTTGACTGGCTGCCATTTTGATGGCCTTCAGTGGAGGAGAATGCGACCCAGAACTCTGCTTTCCAAAATTCCTTTGCTGAGCAGGGTTAACATTAGCTGGCTTTTTTTTTTTTCCTACCAGAGTTGGTCAGATCTTTAACCAGAGCATGATTGTGTAGCACTTCAGCTGGCCAGTGAATCCTGTTAGAATTCCTAGACTGTGCATTGGGATCGTGGGATCACGGGAGCCCCCTGTGCACAGCCATCCCCACTCTGTTCCGTCACGTCCATTGCTAGCTGGAAATCAGCCATGGTGGATGCATTTATGCCACAGAAATTACGGGTGCCGCCAATCAGTACCTTTCACTGCATCCATGACCAGTTGTTAATCCTTCCCAGCACACCACTAGATATGGAACTTAAATCACTAGAACATGTTAACTTCATCAGCCTCCTGCATCTTTGTCCCTCTGAGATTTTAAAATCCCTTCATACCATCGCCATTACCCTTATACTCATATAATAATAATAATAATAAGTAACACGTATGTGTCACTTAATGAGGTCTGCTAAAGTTGCAGAGTTCACTTGCCAGTCTTTATGGATAGCTAGGTTACAATCCACACATATTCAGACCCAAAATGTCAACAATTTGCTACTGAGAAGGGTTATTTCACAGTCCCACCATGCATCCACCATGGATCCATTCCTGTTCCATTTCCATCATTTTCTCCCCACTTGGCAATGAAGGGGCAGCCTCTATCTGAAACAGTGGTATTCTTCTGACAGAGTGAAAAGACAGACCCAATAAACCACAGTTTGGATCTTAGTGCTTCTCCCAGAAGTGACACCTGACCATTTAGCCCAAGGTTCATCCATCAAACTCAGGCACAGTCTACTCCTGAACCTCTCACCCCTGGGATGCATAATCCCCCTTTGGGAGGCATGGATGAACCACCTGGCTACTCTGATATCAAGAGCTATGAGCACTGGTTTATCATTTGCCTTCCACGTTATTGCAGGCAACCACTTGGCTAAATGCATTATTTCTGCTTCCCATGGTTTCCCATCCTGATAGCCCCCAGGAACAGTTTTCCTATCAGTCTCCGGTCTCTTGGAACTGCACCACTTATTTTCTGGGTGCTTCCTAGGCACTCTCCGCATGTAAGTATCAGGCTAGCATCAGTCAGAATAACTAGGTTTCTGTTGCCAAAATCCACACTCAGTGCCATCAGAAGTCGACACAGACTCTGCTGTATTCAATCTTTGCTCCACAACCCAGCTGATGAAGCAACCTCTGTCTAGAGCAGTAGGTCTCTTGAGAGCAGTGCTTGCTGGGGAAACACAAGAGAACAAAATAAACCCCAGTTCTTTGGTGTTACCTACATGTGTTACATGTGGTACCTACCATATATTTTTTCAATCGGCCAAAGCAATTCATATGGCTGCTCCTGAGTTAAGAGGTCAAGAAAGCATAATCTTCATGTAGGCAGATGGCTCCTCAGGTTGCAGGGCAAATGCTGAGTTCAGGGGACCAGCAATGTCTTCTTTTCCTTAAGAAAGGGATGGCCAAGACTTTTAAAATATTTACTTTGAACATTAAAATGTATAAATAAATTAATTACTTAACTTTTATATAAAAAATTAGCATACATTTGTTTCCCCCATTTGATTCTTATAAAAACCCAAAGCAATTGGAGCTATTATCATTATCATTTTACAAATGGGTAAACTGAGGCACATACACAGACACTCAAAAGTGTAGAATTCTTTTTCCAAGCTCATTGTGCTTAAAAGTTATATACAGAAGCTATGCAGTCTGGTTAAACATGTATGTTTACCCATACCAGTGCTTTAAGTATCTGCAAACCCTCCGTTTTCTGCTCTTTATCCTGCTCATGCTGGGAGAGTTGACGTACTGCTTCCTCACGGAGGCCGCTTTCTAGTGTGGCTGATGACCACCGTTCAACATTCAAAAGTCCCCTCCACCTGTTAAGCACCCTTCCCCACCTCTCAGTGCAGAAAACTGCCTACTCCACTTTCAGACCAGGGGAATATATATATTCCTTTTACAAACAGCTTCTTGATAAACATTCTTTTTAGAAATAGCTGACTAGTTCATATATCACAGAGTCCATTTTTACAGATCGAAGGTTAAAAGTTAGTTGTCAGAGCACCAAATCCTGTATCACATCCATTGTTTCTAACCACAAATAAAGACATCAATTAAAAAAAAAATCATTTGGTTTGGTAGAATTTGATAAAGCAGTGTTTGCTGAGTTCTCATAATTCAGATGTTTGCCTCCACCGTAATAGTTCTCAGTTATTTATTTGATTTTATTTCTAATTTTCCACTTATGCATTGTGATCCATTGTTGAAAGTCAACTACTTTAACTGGCTGAAAAACAGATCTGTGTCTTCAGCTTAAGTATAATGCATCATTGCATTTGGTTGGTACCCTGGCCTAGTGCATAGGCAGATTTTGTCTTTATGATCTAGGAAATGAGGGGGTGGAAACTCAGAGACAGCAAGGTTTGGGAACCAAAGTCATTTGGGGGATTTGTTTTTGTTTTTTCTTCTGCCCTTTGGCTCCTAAATGAGGACCTTACCTACTATATCATGTTGTTTTAGTTTAGGCTGTAAAAAAACTATTAAATTTCACTTTTCCCTGTTTTTTGGGGGGTGGGTAGTTTTTATATTATATTAGTTTTGTGTTTTCCAAAGGTTAATTGTATGAGGTTTATGAGGGCAAACTATTTGAAAGGTGGAGGAGAAGTTAATGATCTATTGCAATGGCCTCAGGAAGAAGCAGTTAAGGGAAATGTTGACTCTTTTCTACTCTCACATAGAGGTTATCGATAGAATAAGGTTATAACCTGGACACAGCACAGTTAATTAAAAATTATTTAACTCCCCAGATCCTACCTCAAAGAATTCCTCATTCTTAGTAGAATACTCTCCAAGATTCCAAGTAAGAGAGATCTCCTCTGGTTTTGAAGACCTTTACCATAGAAATAGGTGGG